CCTGATTTCGGGATCAGCATGAACGCAGCCTAAAGTCAATGGCTACCTTTCCCTTCTTTGAGTTTGCGGATCGTGCTGCAATTCTTGCTAACATAATATAATGGCTAATAAGTGATCATACAATTTTGAATTACTTTCACAGAGCGCTTTCAAGTTTGGTAGCTGGTAGCTGACGTATGAGTAGATTACAAGTGTTGCAGATCACGAAGAACCAAAGAAGATGCTTTCGTTTGTTCCGTATAAGAAGCACTGCGTTTATAACATGGCAGCACCGCTCCGGAAGGAAGCTGGCAATCGAAAATCTGCGTAACGAATTGCCCTTCTCCTTATCTTTCAGAAACAGATCGTGCTGCACTGTTCGGAGCGCTTTTTCATCTACAGCTTGGAATTCTCTTATTCAATCATTTAACAAGAAGGACAAAGTCAAATGTTACCAATGCCCATCTCTCGCAGAGATTCGCATGGTCATTTTGGAACTTGGAGTTTTCTAAAAATCGAGTTTAATGGTCCTCTGCCTTTTCTTTCAAAATTTGGCCGGTCTTCAAACTTTTTGCGAACAATGGCTTATATTGATAAGCAAGTTTGCAAGCTATAGGTTTCAGAAGAAACTGACTGAACAACCTAGCGTGAATCGTCGCTTTGTCAAGATTGCAATCAAAAAACTTAGCAAATTTTTTACTCAAAAATGTAACGGTTGCTATTGCCCTTAATGGCGACTATTAAGCCATAATAAATTTGTTAGGGGAGTCAAATTCGCACTTATCTGCGCTAAAGCTCCTTTCGCACAGGATCGATTTTCCGTGAAAAAACTTCTGGGATGAGCAGCCTCTTTCATTTCATTCGTGATGGTTAAGCATTGCGAGGTGAGTCATAAAGCTATCATTATAGGAGCATGATGAAGACATGTGGGCAGAGAATATGCAACATATGAAGCAGAGGTGACGCACAGGATGTCTCAGAAAAAAGACCAAATAAATTGCAAAATCTTGTGTTAGGATAAACAAAGTCGCTGAACTACAGTCGCGCAATTTGCACTTCTTTGCAATTCTTTTATAAGACCATATACATTGATTATGCCATTCAAAAAGGTTCGAGAACTCGCAAAAAGTATCGTAGTGAACTGAGCATGAAATCTGCTACTAAATCTAGATCATTAAAAACTTTTTGACGGCTTACTCCTGTTACACAATGGCCTTGGTTGCCGCATAAGTTTTGTAGAAGCAATTTGAAAAAATTCTTTGTTTATAATGCGGTGATTTGTATTTTAAGATGTTTTTCTTGCTCATTCTGTTATATATTTTCAACAAGACATTCGTGTAACGAGAATGCAGACTTATCCCATGTTTTTACAGACATATTGTGCGTGAACTTGAGCTAAAAGTCTGCACACATGTTTTTTGAGGCGGATGCCACAAGCTTTTTGCAGCAAATCGTTGAGCTATTTAGCGATTTTGGCACTTTGCAAAATGTATTCTTCTCAACTTTTGTCAGTCTATATAGATATTAGGTTGGTCCGAAAGTTCTGTCGCACCAAATTCAAAATTCGTAACTTTTTCCTGTCACTATAATTTTGCATAGCAAAATTACTATTGGGAAGAGTAACTCGTGAATTTTTCCTTCGTCGGTATCGACAAATTTTATTCCAAAACTGGGCGTAGCATCATTAATCTG